CTGGAGCACACAGCCAAACTTCTCAAAGTTAAAGCGGGGCAAAAATGGCCTCATAAATGATTGCTGGAACAATGCAGTCAAGAGGAACAGCCGCTGTGGATTTCTCCATGCCAAGGCTGGATGTTGCCTGGAAGATAATGTTTGGACAAATGTAACTATTGTGCTCAAGCAGAATGATTGTGAGTAAAGACCTACCATGACGCACTGCTGTTATTTGCTTTTAAACCCATTTTAAAGAACTAATTGGTACCACTAAATTTGTTTTTAGGGAAAAATCCTTAGTCGGGAACAAAGGTATTATAAAATTTAAAGTAAAAGGCTGAAGCCTTTGATAAGAAATTTATTTCTGCCTTTGTTCCATTAGTAGCCTCTGTGTTTTGAGGGCTTCTGTGAGTCTTACTGATATTGATTTGATGCTCTGGGTCTGCAGCAGGTCAGACTAGATGGATCTCTTGTAGATATCACCTAGGAGGCCACAGCTTCCAGAGTGCAGCATTCGACTTCAAAGGGTTACTAGAATTTTAATGGGTAGATGTTACAATAGCAGGTTTTTGTGGGATAGCCAGTCTTCCTCCTTACAGGTCTCATTAGTTTAAAGGAAAATAGTTAGGAAAAAAACAAACCAAACCAAAACCAAAAAATCTAACCCAAATCAAACCAAACCAAAGGAACCTATTCAATTATTTCAGATGTCTTCAGCATTTTTCTTGTGACAGGACATTGTTACAGCACTGTTCTGTTCTGATGTAGAAAGCAAAGACTTTTCTTTGTTACTGCATAATTGATTTATATACAAACACATACATATACAGTATATATTGCTGATGCAATACCCAAAGGAAAGAGAGTAGCAAAACAGACATTTTGGTCTGTTTGTTGTCAGGAAATGTCGTGATTCATCTTTCATGAGCATCTGCAAATATGCATCTGCCAACTCTATTTTACTAAAAGCTTGTTCTCAGCCAAACATATTCTCACCCTAAGAGTACAACATTTTTGATTGACAAGTAGAAAAGGATTAATGATTGCTTGAATGTCTCTACACATTCCCACACTCCCATTTTCTGCTGCACAATAGGAACAAGGACCATGATTCACTCTCACGGGCACATGGTAGGAATAACTTTGCTGTTTTCCCAGTTCTGTACACATCCTTTTGAAGTGGCACAGGGGGAGCAAACAAGGCCTTAGAGGATGAAGAGTAGGGCCCACCCTCAGTGGTTAGCTGTGCTTAAAAATTTACTTAATTTAATGGTAATTCCAGAGCATTGCATTCTAATCTGCATGAGGCACTACAAATGAAATTAAATTTATGGAAGTTGGTGTCACTCTTGCTCTGCTATTAAGAGGGTCTATGGCAGTCCAACAGTTAAAACTCTGGTAATTTTCCGGGCTCATCAGGCAACACAGTTTCCTGTCTCTCTGATTTCATTCAGCTCTTGCTCTCACACCAAGAAACAAAATTTCCATTATAGATGTGCAATGAAATTGCAACCAATGTTTTTACAGGCTGAACGCAAAAATTGCACTGGAGCATTAAACTAAAGTTTGATCTCTTCTAATAAAGATATACTTTGCTGTTCTGTGACTGCCCTTCAGTTTGAGACTAAATATTGCAGAGTACATGAAGCTGCTCCTGAGCTTCCTGACAGTTCTGAGCCAGTCTGTTGGTTTTCATTAGGGGCAGAGGAGAGCAGGGAAAGGAACTGTTCTTGTTTATTTTGGCAAATGGAGTTGTCAATATCTTCTGAAATCAGCAAACAGTAAGGCCAAACTGGGGACATTAAACTTCATCTAAGAACATTGAAGTAAATTTGTCCTATGATTAGGATTAAAGGTCAGGCATTTTAACACAGAGTGCTCCTCTCTAATCTTTAACTCCAGGTCATTTCAATATACAAATGAAACCATGTCCTCCAAATTGCAACTAAATGTGGATAACATGACAACATAGTTTGCCATGAGGATTATTTTTAGGAACTGTGAATGATAAAGCACAGTAAGATCAATTATTTCCAAGTATCATTTTGTAGTGTGAGAAATTAGACTAAACAAAAACAAAACCCAAAAAGCTGTGTTCCAAGAGTATTTGTTGACTTTTCCTTCTGCATCCTTAGTGGTAAATTGACAGCATTTCATTAGTTTTTATTGTGTTTCCTTCCTCAACAGCTCCATTTCTAACTCAATCTTCTTTGAGCTGGAGAAAAAAGTTGATTAACCTCATCTTGTTTAATGTTTAATTGTATTTTTATCTTCTCTCTAAAGGTAGCAAACTTACCAGTAGAATGTTTCGGGGTGTGTAAATTCCTTGTTGCTGTCCACAAAAGACATTTAGAATGATTGTCTCCTTTTTACTCTTAGGGTTTTTTTTTGAGTGTTCTCTTTATTGACCTAGATGAAAAGGAAATACTCAGAACAACACAAAAAGAACAAAACTCTGGGTGGTTCATTTCTTTCCTAATGTGGGGTGAATTTCTGAATGTGCTTTCTGTGCTGGAAATGCAAAAACTGTTATGGCTAACTCCTCCCCAACCTGCTGCCCACCCCTCTGGGGTGCAGATTAGAGACATGGTCTCCTGTATAAAAAGGATAAGTGAGTTAATAAAAAATAAAGTACATAGGAGGCCGGAGTAAATGGAGCATGTAATTTTTTCATGAACTGGTCTCTTAAGTTTCATTTTGCAAGGCATCATGATTTTCTACATATTTATGAAAATATGAGAGAGTGAACTCAATGCTTAATGTGCAATCTACTTAGCAATTTTAAGTAAGGCTGTATCTTGCTTTCCCTGTCAGAAAAACCAGAATCTTCTGCAGGCACCACCACAAATGATAGCAAGATCAGTTATGAGTTTCTGTGATACTGCAAGCCTTCCTCCAGAGCCACTTTCTTGCAGAACCATGTGCCAGTTTGTGCTCTTTGGTAACATGCAAGCAAAAACATTGTCAGACTGATTCTCAAGTGTGGAATGTGATGAAGAATAAAAGTTGCTTAAGATTGATATCATTGCACACGTATAAAATAAAGTACAACTCTTAAGAGAGACAGATAAATATAAAGTTTTGAAAAAGTTATGAGATAGAAGTGTTGGGTTTTTTCCCAACATCCAAATGGTGTTTTCAATCTTGAAAGCTCTAAAGCAGTTTATAAAGATAATTAGGCATAAATGTCCCCATTTCACAGCTGTGCAAACAGAGGGAAACAGTTCTGTAACCTACTTACCAAAATCTTACAGAGGTAAGCAAATCTTGAGCCACCAGATTGCAAGCACTGGTTCGTTAACATTGCTTTTTTTGTGCCTGCTTCTTTGTAGCTAAATTAATTAATATTGATATATCAAAGCAGCCAAAGTAGACCTAGATCTCAAGCTGGTAAGATGACCTGTTTCATTTCTGTCTCAAGTTACATTTCTTTGATAAGACATCAGCTTCAGAACAATTCAATATATTTCAGTTCTGTGCCTGGTTGCAGGCTTTGAATTCCACTAATATTTCCAGTTTCATGCCTGGGAAGTTGTAGAGCAAGAGGTACCTGCCTGTAGCACTGTGAGAGCATCACAGCCAGGAATGGTGCAAGGAACCATCCAGGTGCTACCCCAAGCAGCAGCTGCAGGAAAGGTGCTTGCACAAACACAGGATTTGCAGTTTCCAAAGCACACAGGCTCCTGCTTTAGCAACATCTCCATGACAACTGCTTTATAATTCATGCCACATAATATATAATTTTGCTGTTAAAAAAAAAAAAAAGGCTCTGCCAACATACAACATACTAACAAGGCCACGTTCTTGAAAATTAAATGAACCTGAAAGAATTTTTAGCAATCAATTAACCATTGAATAAAGCTTAAGGGACATTAGACAGTAAGAATGACAGTATTTATAGCGTTGATGTGATCATGAAATCTCATTCTCTGCTTCTCCACCATTCTCACCATTTCAAATCCTATAATTGATACTGATGCAATGTTTCAGTCAATAGCTGTAAAAGGGAATAAGGAGCACGAAATGGCTCTTTGTCATTTAATGAGTAAATACAATCCCACTGAGCTTTGTATTCCAGAATTTTTTGCTAATCAGTCTTGTTTTAACTGGAGGAGTGAACTGTCTGAGGTATATCAACAGGTTTGGGGATTGGTAAACAATAGAATGATAGCTAAGATAGTGGAAAAAGTGTGTTCTAATGCAGTGCAGAGAATTAAGACTATTAAAATGCCTTTCCTAGTTATTGCTTCAATGCCAAGGTAACCAATCAAACAAAACTGCTGCTGTAAGATTAATAGACATTCTGAAAGGTACGAAATGCAGTCTAAGTTTGGTTCTGTAAATTTAACAGGATCAAGGTATAGATAAATTGTGAGAGGCAGAAACAGAAACCAAGTTTTTCCTGCCTATCTCCAACTTTAGGAGGCAGAAGAAGGAAACAAGGGTAATGGGGAAAGCATGTTATGTTCAATGGATTTTGGGCATCCCGTTAGTTGTTCTGGTTTAATTAACATCTTGTTTTTAACTGGCAATTTTATTTTAAGTATCAAGTCTAAGAAATGCTGGGATGCAGGCCTTGACTCTTTCACAGCATAAAAAGGAGATATGAACCCATCATAAAAATGTTCTGTTGCTTTTATGCCGAGTTTTGGAATTGTGTGTTGTAATGTATAGAATATGTATTGATTTCAGAACTGAGGAACAGAAATTACCAAGATATCAATAGGAAGGAATTATCAAATGACAAATTACTTTTGTTAGGTTATAAAATTCTGTTAAAGAAGCACCAAGGCAAAGAAACACGTTCTGGAATGAGAAACACAAGTCCAAAATACAAGGATCTCCTCCTGAGACAAGTTACTGACTCAACTTTACAGGTTTCAGCTACCAAAAAGACAAGCTTAACTCCCCAGTGAGACCTAATTCAGAAAAAATTACTTTACTGGCCAACTGACAGCAGCTGTGCAGACCTAATCCCAAAGCAGGGTGTGCTTAAATCAGAAACACATGATGATTTTGACTGTTTTCTGAGTATCTTCCCTTACTGCCTTTCCTCCAGTGGCTGAGAGGAGAAATGAACTAAAACTTCCAGCAGCAGTTCAAAACAGGGCTGATGTTTCACCCTTTTTGCAGAGTTCCAGGTATGCAGTTTTATTTTGAGATTTATGTGACTCTGGAGCAGAATTTACATTGCTTGGTTTACAGAGAGGTGGAATTTTGGCGCTCAAACCTAAGGAATTGAGGCAATTCTTTATTTCATTTGTTCAGAGGTACATACTGATGTATATTGTGGGGTTTTATTTGTATTGACTCTCATGTTCCACAATTGCTGGGGCCTGTGCTTCTGCAGAACACTCAGAATTCACCAGCGGGGGAGTGGAAGAAGGAGAACATCTTGTACAGCATAAGGACAGTTTAATTTTCCACAGCTAAAGATGATGAAAACTCCCAGTAGGATTGAGCTGCATTTTTCTTTTAAAGAACAACAAAAAATTAAGCTACTCTTGGTAGATTCTGTAAGGTCCCTAGTCTAACTTCTGCTTTCTGTTTGAGCAGCAGGTCACATTAGAAACATTTAAATAAGGATGGAAGGAAGCAGTTGCACACAAATATTGATGCCAGTGCAAGAGCAAAGATCAGGTAGCAGCTTGTTGTTAATTCCAGCCAGAGTATCTGAATGAGGTTGGCCCTCAGGAAACTTCTCAGTAATAGCCCTGTGAATTAGGGAACTCTTTTCTGGTTTAATTATGTTGACCACTGACAAATATTTCCTTTTTTTCTGACCATGTCATTCCATCTGTCACTTATTCCCCTAACCCTGTGTATTTACTCCTTTCCTTCTGTCTGTAATCCATATAGCTCTGGAATATTTTTTCCCTTGTAGAAGAAGTATTTGCTCTGTCAATTCTTCATTTTTTCTCTTTCTTTGGAGACCTATTGCTGTGTTGAACCATCCTCCTACATCGCTGTCTGCAGCTCTCACCCTCTTCGTCTGCTGCTGAGCATGCTGATATTTGGGTCTTGTACAATGCTAAGAATATCAATGTTCAATAAATATCAGTATGGGAAAGGCACAGTTGCTATAAGAGAAATAAATAGCTCAGGAAAAAAAATCAAGATACTGCTGCCTCTGCAACAGCCACTGTCTGCAGTGACTGTAAAATGTAACTAAGAACTAAATTGTCAGTTTTGGCGTGTGCTAAGGAAACCAAGCAATGTCACACATGCAGATGTTTACTTTCTATTATCCTGGCAACCCCCGGTATATAGATCCTTGTGGTGCAATGTAAATTCCTTTCAAGATGACATTTAAGAGGAACTTAATCTGTGTAGAGCACTAACAAACTGAGGCACAGCGGATTTATTCATTTAAGAGAATTATTCATTTAATTTTTGCCATTTAGTATTTATATTCATTTACCATTCATTTATTCCCTTCATTTTTATTCATTTATTCATTTATCAAATATTCATTTTAATGGTTTTCATTATCACTATAGTAACTGTAGGGACAGATTTGCAATAATTTTATTCCTTAAATAGGTTTAGTCTTGGAAAACCTATAGAAGATGGTAGGGCCACTTGCTTGTCAGGTTCATTCCCTTTTCTCAGAAGTGTTTGTCTCTTTACTCCCTTTGTTTCTTTGCAGCTCTCATAATTTCTCTTAAATTCCTTTCTATGTTTTATGACAACAGTTTAGCTCAGTGATATTAGACCAAATGCTTGACTGATGTGAAGTACTGAAACCTGAGTGTGTTACTCAGTGCTTTGGACACTGATTTAGTCTGCTTGTTTCCCCATAAATTTTTCTTTTATTTTCCCTGTAGAGTGGCATTTCCTCAAAAATTTACCTCTTATTTCCTTTTAATGCCAGTTCCATTTCTATGTAAATGAGCCCCCTGCAAGCCAGGGAACAATGACCTTCTAAGGAGCAATTGTTTTGAACTACAGCAGAAGAAAGCCTGAATCTCTGAAAACAGTGGGTTCTGTGTATGAATTTCCATTGCAGCACTGAGAATTCAGGTCCTCTGGTTTTTTTCTTCAAAAAAATAATTCTCTAACATGAAAACAGTGGAGGAGTAATATCTTTCAACTTCACGAAGCATCAGATTGTCCTTTTGATGGAAACAACTGGATCATCTGATACCTTTTGTACAGGGCCAGTGCTTTTGAGTTGGAATTCTTGTTCTTTTGTTATAGACTGATCAGTGCTTATGCAGTTGAGTCCTGGAAGTTTGTAACCAGTCACCTAAAAGGATATTTTCCCATGTGTAGTGAAACTTTATACTGGGGAGCAGGATATTCACAGATGAACCCAGCTTGCTCTTGGTGAGGGATTAAGTTGTTTGTGGTTTTTAACCTTCCATCCTCAGTGAGCCTCAAAGTCCTAGAAAACACTTCTGTGACTCCCTTAGTGCTCCTTTGCATCACAGCTTCAAACCGGTGTCAGGATCTTGTCTTCCCATCAAAACCTTTTCCCCCTTAATCAAACACTGCACTTGAAATTTAAATTCAATTGTAATTAGACCACCCTAAATTCAAGCCATTTCCATCATTTCATCTTTCACAGCCTGTTTGTACTCTGAGTTGTGTCAACAACAGAAACACAGCTGAAATACTTTCTGATTGGTTGGTTAGTAACTATATTTAGCACTTGCATTTTTTAATTATTACTATTTATATCACCAGAATAAAAAGAAAACCCCTATCCTTGTAGAAAGCATCATGAACTGGGTATTCCCTATAATTCTATATTAAGTAAACCAAACTGCTTCAGATATTTACATTCAGAAGTTTATCTTTGTTGCCAGAAGAGCTAGAAGTAATTTTCTTTACAATGAGATCTTAAGTTTGTAGAGTGTGTCGTGACTCTGCAGGAAAAACTCTTCATACCCTGACTTGAGGCTGCAACTCTAATTTTGAGAACCATTGCTCTGGAGGCTTTTTATCAGCTCCAAAAATGTCTTATCTCTGGTTGCTTTTAACTGCATAATAAGAGGTCATTTGAAAGAGGTAATGTCTTCTTAAGGGTTTGTAATCTAAAGCCCACAGTTGTCAATGAACATTCATTGACTTCAGGGACTCTGAATCAGGTATTTATTCATAATATGTGGTGTTGGCTTAGTAATTTTAGTAGTATTAAGATATGAGAAATGGACTGCCTATTAAAGCTGGACAGAAATATTCTGGCGGCATTTAATTTGTCAGATAAAGCCTTGAAATTCCTGTGAATGTAAATATTTTTCAACAGTCTCTTTAAACAACCTCTGCCTGAGGAATCAATCCTTTTCCCAGCTCACCTGTCCAGTTCCTCCCAGCTCCTGAGGATTCCTGTAGCCCTGGAGAGAAGTCCCAGGGCTTTTGGAGAGCTGCAGCTCCAGCTGTGGTGTCACAGCCGGCAGGAGCCTTGGGCTCCTCTTCCTGAGGCTGATTTCTCAGGGTAAACAGGGAATTGTAGGCCCAGACACAGCATAAAACACCATTAACATAAATGTCTGTTCTTGTTTGCACTCCAAATAATGTTCTTCAAAGTATTAGAACTTCCTAAAAAGGTTGTGTATTTTTTAAAAAATCAGTCAAGGAAATTTGCTTGGAAAATAATAATCAAAGTGTACATTCAATTAAGAGGAGACATAGTTTTTACTTTCTTTCATCTCATCTTCTCATGCAGTGTTTGAATGTGCTTTATATTTGAGAGTTTCACTGCCCTCCCCCTCAGCAGAGAGTGAAGTCAGTGGGAAGAGATCTGATGTGTGCTTTACCCCTCTGGTGTGTGCATGTATGTTTTTTCATTAAATCTGAACATTAACCTGATGGCCTTTAGGCACAATACTTTCTGAAAAACTTAGGTGTGCTGATTATTGCTTGCTTTCCAACTCCAGATCCTCTTGCAAACACTTCAGGGACCTCATTAAATTCTGCAGCTGTATTACCCTCCTTCTTTATTAACTTTCTTCAAATATCCTGCCGTGGTCTAATGTCTTCTCTTGTCAGCCTCACTCCACTTCATACACCTGAAGGAGACTTTATTGTTCTTATTTCCTTGCTCTGAAAACTTCATTCATAGCCAGTTTTTACCTCTCAGGATATTTTTTTTAGCTCATCCCTCCATTGTATCAGCCTTTGTAGTCCCTTGATAAAACTCTGTGATTTTTAGGCATGACATGCATTTTAAAATCATTGTTTTAATTTCCTGATTTAACTCTAAATAGGGCAAGAAGTACAGCTGAAACATATCTGGTCTTGTAACTTTTTCCTTTGTCCTAAAAAAAAAAAGAAAAAAGGAGAACTTACAATAACATGAAGAAATAGTCTCAAAACCTGGAGAAATCTTTACTTTTAGGAAGCTGTTAGTCCAGTGAGTGAACAGGTAGCTACAAAAGGCAGCCCAATTCACTGGTGTATCCTAAAAGTTGGAGCCACAGCCACTCTCTGCCTCTTGAGCCTGGCCCCGAGGGCTTTGCTTCAATTCCCCCCATTCCTGCTCCCACTCCAGGCTCTTCTCACCTCCATGGCAAACACTCCTATTGCAAGAAAGGTGAAAGATGCTTTTGTGAGGGATTTCTACCTGTTATATCCAGGCCTACCCACATATTGACCTCTCCACAGAGACAAATCTCATCTTTAACTTGTTTTACCAGTTTCAAGAGACTTGGTTTTACACATTTCACTGACCATTACTGCTTCACACTATTTCCAATCTCTCTTTGTTAGAGAAAAACACTTATCTTTGTGTCACTCTCAGCAATAAATGAAGATGTAAACACATTTCAGTAAAATTAGGGATACTGGAAAAATTAATATTAAACTTCTCTTCATTAAAACTTGGGAATTATATAGACAGGAAAATTATTTCAAGAAAGCAGTATAGTAAAGGGATGTAACAATTACCTCATGCAGAGCCAGCTCAAGTCAGCATTTTAAAGAAGTCTATATGTCTGCTTGCAAGTACTTGTGATGCTCAGTGCAATCTGTTAAACCAAGTCAACTGGGCAAGACTAATGCCAAATCAATTGCAGTCACTAATGTCTCATACAAATACAGAGCAAAAATATTCTTAGTTGAGCATAACATTCAATGCAGGCAGCAATACATTCATAATCTGAGCTTCTCAAGTTAAATAAACTGGTGAAGTACAAGG